TTTCCAGTTTCTTGCAAAAATTAACCTTGCAGCCGTAATCATTATTACTATTAAATCCTTATTTTCTTTCAACAATTGATCCTTCTTAATCACATTCAGTAAAGCCATTAATGGAGACATTTGAATATTCAATCCAATTATTCCAGACATTTCTTTAAAAATTAAATTCCATTCTTTCCTTCTTATTTCACATCACCACCACATATGTAGATAGGTCCCCTTCTCTTTTTTACACCTCCAACATAATGTTGACACACTTTTATCTATTATATTCATTTTAACCAGCGTTAAATACCACCTCCATATTACCTTGTAACAATTTTTTTACTCTTACTGACATGTCCTTCATAATTCTCTGATCCCATATTTTATCCCATTCTTCACCTATTACTTCTTTATACAAATCATTTTGCCATTGCATTTTTAATCCTTGTGTACCCTGTTCAGCTTGCATCAATAATTTATATATTTGGCTTACAGTTCCTTTTCTTTCTGTCTTTTCCTCTGATCTCAATCTTTTTTCTATAATCTCTTCAAATTTTGTCATTTCTCTACCTTTCCTTTAGTTTTATCCCATTCTTCACCTATTACTTCTTTATACAAATCATTTTGCCATTGCATTTTTAATCCTTGTGTACCCTGTTCAGCTTGCATCAATAATTTATATATTTGGCTTACAGTTCCTTTTCTTTCTGTCTTTTCCTCTGATCTCAATCTTTTTTCTATAATCTCTTCAAATTTTGTCATTTCTCTACCTTTCCTTTCGCTAGTATTCCATTCACTTGTCCACCTTTCTAATTAATTGAATTATATTTAACCATGAAATCTCCTTTCCTCCTAATACCTTTTCTATATCTTCTTTATCTCTTATCTTCTCTCTCCAATCTTTTAATACCAGTATGAATTTGACCAAACTCCAGGAGGCAGTGGAAGACAGGAGGGCCTGGCGTGCTCTTGTCCATGGGGTCAGGAAGAATCGGACACAACTTAACATTATGAGTGGGTGCCAATTGGCCTGGGCAATGACTAGAGGCTCTGTGTTGTTACTGGAGTCATTAGTCAACATATGATGACATTTGGAGGGGAGCACTAAGGCCAGTGTCTCCATAAACATTTCTATTCAGTTTTAGCCTAAGTGGGTATTCAAGGAAGAGCTTCTTAATGTATTAGTGGCACTTCAATATTTACCTCACCTGACATCTCATAAGTGACACAGCCCAACCCCAGGCTCTTCATGCATATGGCCCAAATGTCTCTAGGGGAGGGCAGATGTATATGAAGCCTGTATGGCAGTCAGAATGCTGGTAGGGTGTGTACATGTATTTGCACATAGTCCACCCTTTTGTACATGTTCACATTGTGCATGAGGATTCTGGGAGTCTTACTTCCCATTCAGCCGTCAGAAGAACTTATCCAAATGTCCAGACAGGGCTATCGTGACTTTGCAATTCTGGCTGTGTTTATAATCTTTCCTTTGTGGCACCTAATCTGGCCTTAGCTGTACTAGATCTTTAAAGCCAAACTGCATTAAATGCTCATAATAATTAATGCTCTTGTCTCTGAAATTTTGAGGGGTTGGGGGGCTGACTTTTGACCCCACCATCTCCCATGCAGGACAACACAAGAGCCAAGAATGCATAATGTGACACATCCCTTTTCCTCAGTTGCAAGTTGTTCCAGGCTGTGCTGCTTAGTTCTCAAAAATAGGCTAATTGGGATTTTGTAATATCATATACCAAATATTTGTAATATCATATACTGTACAGGTTAGGCATAGGCAGAGATGCAGCTTGAACACTCCCAATAATTTGCTGAAGCATCCCACTCCCATGTTCAATCGATAAAAGGACAGCAAGTATTTAGGAATGCTGTTAGCTTAGAGTGATGTGGCTGTTCTTCATGTCCCTGAAGGCAACAGTGGGTCAGGAAATGCAATAATTAGTATGGTTGGACCTGGCAGTGGCAGTACACTGGAGATGGAAAAAGATTATTTTTAGATTACAGTACAGCTCACAGAATGGCTCAAGAGATGGTTGAGATACTATGGAAATTACTGTATAGTACAAAAAAGGGTAACTGTTCCATTTCTGGTGCCGTCAGGTTCAACATTTCTTCACCCCACCATGAATACATGCACAGTCTGCTTTAAGGGACACACGTTATATTTTACACACATATGCAATTGCGCAGAATCTTCACCAATATTCAGACCATACCGACTAATTTACATCTCTGTCCGCCGCTGCCATTTTGGTGCAAAAGAACAGGGAACAATGGGGAGACGGCAATTAACGACAAATTGCGGCCATTCACCGTCGACCGTGGGCGCTTGCTTAATCCTTTTGAAGGGCTCTCCAGCATCTGCATAGTTTACCTCAGCTGTTTCTCTATCAAGTCTAGTTCTGTAGTCCGCATCCACCCGCAAATGCGTCCCAGCAGACTGATATTATTATTATTAATCAGCACTAACATCCCGCAAAGCACAGATTCATTCTTTTAGCTCCTATATTAATACGCGCGCCCCTGACCTCCCAGAAACCACGTAGCCAAATTTTATTTTAAGCTCACACATAATGTTCAATAAACTCTCTTTCTCACACACCCACCCCCACCCCCGCGTGCGCCCATCTTGACGCCACTCTTCCGCACGCCTGTCTCCCGCAGAGGGAGAGCCCACGGCAGCGAGCAACAAAAGCGCATGCGCCGCTCGAGGAGTCCCGATTGGAGGGCTGCGAGCACGTGAGGTGGCCTTTCGTCACGGAGCCGCAGCTGCCTGTTTTCCTTTCCGGCCGCCATCTTGGCTCCTCCCGCGTGTGCTCCCCCGGGCTGTGCGCTTCGCTCCGCGGACTCCCGCTTTTTCTCCCCCCTGCCCCGGCTGGGCGGCTTCTTCCCGAGAAGGTACCCGAGCGCCATCCAGGGAAGGTGGGAGGAGAACAAAAGAGCAACCGGGTCTCCGGCCGCAGCTGAATTCTTTGGGCGCCGGTGGCTTCCGCGGGCCTGTGAGTCCGGGTGGCGCGTTGGGCCTTGGCGTGGAAGGAGCTTCGGGGAGCGACGCGCGGCCCCGGCTTTTCCCGGCCTCTCGAGGGCACAGCCTTTGGGTTTCCTGCCCTTTCGGCCTGGAAGGGCTCACTCGGCCTGGTGGCCCCTGGTTGGTAGGGCGGGGCCTCGCTTCCTGGTTGGGGAAGGCGGTCGTTCCTCCGAGGCCGGACGGGAGCCTGCCCGCCTTAGAGGCAAGGCCCCGTCGAGACGCCCCCCCCCCAGCGGTATCGGCCTAATTTACCTGTTTGGTGATCTTTTTTCCTTAGATGAAAGAAACTATCATGAACCAAGAAAAACTAGCTAAGCTCCAAGCACAAGTGCGCATTGGTGGGAAGGTAAGGCTTCTTTGCTGCTGCTCCTCCTTTTGTCCTGTTTTCTGACCTACGTCTCTCTGAAAATGGTGCCCTCCTATTACCATTGTTATTCTTTTGTGACTTTATTAACTCCTAATAAAGGATGATCTATGTATAGTGGCTTGTGTAATCGTTTCTGCTTTTAATCAAGTTATACTTTATTTGATCGTTAATTATTGTGTTGTTAAAGAAAGTCAGTTAGTGGTAGACAGTAGGGTGGGAGAAGGTTAAAGCTGATTTATCCAGTGGTGGAAATCCAGTTGCTATTAGAGTAGGCTCATTGAATCAGTGGAATTTACAGGCAAGTTGACTCACCAAATCCCAGTGACTCAGTGAGTGTGCACTAGTTGCGATTTGCAGCTGGATTTCAGCCATAGTAGTTCAGTGTGTATCTAATAACAGATTTGTGGCATTTGAGGTACACTTATAGAAAGTACAGTATGTGTAAGATTGTAGCCTTAAGTAGTAGATATATTTGTATAGACTGGCCAGCATCTTGCAGTGGTTAGCATGTCAGAATTGAGCCAGGAAGGCCTGGATTAAAAATTGCTCCCCAGTTTGTAGAGTGTTCAGTTTAATTTTTAGACAATCTCAGTGGAGTGGTTGTCATGATAGACTAGAGCAGGGGTCTCCAAACCTTTTAGTATGAGGGCTACATAATATATTTTACACATTTTTGAGGGCTGAAGGACAGCGGGTGTGGAGGAACAATTGGGTCCCCATTCCCTCCTCTTCCTATGCCTGGGCCGAATAAAAAGGCAAGGTGGGCTGGATGTGGCCCGTGGGCTGTAGTTTGGAGACCCCTGGACTAGAGGAAGGTGAAGGAAAAGAGGAAGAACTCATGTTTCTTTCCTACTTGGAGCAAATGTGAGTTAAGGTAACAGATATAATAATATGTGCTCCTGTTTATTGATTTAATGAAACAGAATGGGACTTATTTCTGAGCTGCTTTAGAGGATTCTGTTGTTTGAGGTTTAAATATGGCCACTGTGTCAGAATGTCTCATCATAGGCTTTTCTGTGAGGAAGTTGGCAACTTTAATTACATGTATTGGAAACCTCAATCAAGGTGGAGCCAGTGGAATTTCAAGTCCCAACATAATGAGGTGCTTTACAGCTGAAGCCTATAATTTTCATTATACAAACTACTTTCAGGTGGTTGATGTTGATTTAATTAACATAATAATGCTTGCTTAGAATTATGGTAGATGATGTCTCAGTATATATTCTCTGTTTTGTTGGCTTCACATTATTAAACATTAATAGTTAATAAATAGTTTTTATTATTCATTTTATTATTCATAAAAACCACCAGCCTTTTCTGCATACAGACTTGTTGTAATTACTGTTTGATGAAAACCAGTGGTTTAGTCTAGTTTCATTTGGTTACGAGAAATGTTGCACAAAATATTCAGAAACTTTAGTTTATAACCAAATATGCTCTGGCAAATATTTGAAAGCAGTGGTGTTGCTTTCATGAACATGTTCTAGTTTAAATAGGCACATTGAGCAATATATACTAATCAGCTCCCTCCTTGCACAGACTTGGGTTCATTGACCTAATAATATTCAGATCAACATGCTGATTTAGTTTGAAGTAGGTTTTCCTGTTCCTACTGATGTCAAAATAAAATTTTGATTGGATCCAGATTGTGCCTTGGATGTGTGTCCAGTTCTCTACACTTCTGGGTCATTCAGTTCTAATTTCTATAACATTTTGGTCTCTTGGGATCTTAGCGCTAATTCTTTTTTCTTTCAACAATGCCAAGGCTTTTCTCAATTTATTTTCTCTTAATTTTGAATTGCTTCATTGGTAATGAATGGCCTGGAGTGTGTGGCAGTGGTGTGCTTAGTGCTTTTCTGTTGTCTGCAGAATTGTATGTCTCTGAAAATCCACACAAAGTGAAAAAGGAAATATTTAGATTGGATTAAGTGGTATAACAAGCAAAGATTTAATACTGACTTTGTAGATTAATTTTGTCTACAACAGATTTTATTGAATTGTCATTGTACTTTTATTGCTCACTTGTGGTGTATTAATATTCTGAAAATAAAGTTGAACATGATTTCTGATGGCAGAGGTAATTGTTTTTTCCTTTCAACTTTATTTTCAGATAACTTTATTGTTATGAAATATGACATATCTCTCAATACAAAGTGCAAAGTTGCTTAGCTCTTGTAGAAGCAGAAGTATCATTTACTGACAAAGAGGACTGAATTGTGTATTTTTAGGCACTTGGGATTTTTTGTGTTTTAAAAATAAGTGGTGTCATTTTAGATGATTTAAACAGTGTGTCCTTTTTATCTATAGGGTACTGCCCGCAGAAAGAAGAAGGTGGTTCATAGAACAGCTACAGCAGATGACAAGAAGCTTCAGTTTTCTTTAAAGAAACTAGGAGTAAATAACATCTCTGGTATAGAGGAGGTAATACCTACTTATTTTTTGCATTTATTTGAGTGCTCTTCTAGAATCTATTTTTCTTTTTAAGTGCTCTTATGAAACCTTTTCTTGACATTATTCGTTTTTACAAACAAAATTGAATAACAAATACTGTATGTCAAAATAGAGTTAACTAACTGCAAAAACTTGATTATTCTATCAGTTACATCTTGTTTTGCAGGTAAACATGTTTACAAACCAGGGCACAGTCATCCACTTCAACAATCCTAAGGTTCAAGCTTCTCTAGCCGCTAACACTTTCACAATCACAGGCCATGCTGAGACAAAGCAGCTGACCGAAATGCTGCCTAGCATCTTAAACCAGCTTGGTGCTGACAGTCTTACAAGCTTGAGGAGACTAGCAGAGGCTCTACCTAAACAACGTAAGTAGGACTTGGAGACACTCTGTAATTGAGAATTAATACTCTTCCACCTTCTAAATATTAGTATATACAGTGTTATGGATGAGCTTTGAGTTTCCATGGAAGTAAGGGCCCTGAAACTGGAACCACCAAGATAAACTTGGCCTTTTCAGTTTGCACTTGATGACTGATTAGGATTTTTATTACTAGTAGATGCAGGACAGAGGATCAGAGCTGTTCAGTGTTGAGGTAAGTAGCTAGGAAACCTTTTTTTAAAAAAAAAAAAAACACCACAAGGACTGAATGCCAATCTGGCAGGGTATTGAGGACAGCATTTCAGAGAAGGTAGGGCTAGTGGCATAGGGCTGGTCCAAACCAAGATTGGTGGGGTGGGTTTAATTCTTACTGATTTGAACATTTTCCCACCCAGCATACAACAATTTAATTTTGTTAATGCTACTCATGTCTAAGCTCTTGTGCAACAGCGTTCTAACCTTTAAATACTGTTTTATTTTGATCGTTGATCAGATACAAGGTGGAAGGAACATCTCCATGCAACTTGAATGGAGATGTCTTACAGACCGGAGGTTCTCCGTTACTGGTTTATGCCATGCCTGGCAATCTGAATTAGAGCACACTATGGAAAACGATAGTGTTCTTTTTTTAACATTTTATTCTTATCTAAACATACAAAACAAAGACTTAAAAATTCTTAACAAATAACTAACAAAAAACCCAAAGCTAAACATCCTCCCTTCACTTGTAGATCAGAGATTTCACTGTCACCTGGTCATCAGAGTATCTTCAAGGGATTGGCTTGCTATTGATTAATTTTCCCCCCTAAGTTCTTGCCTTTTTCTGGGCCCAATTATATTTCAACTTCCAGCTTTGCTTCACAAAATCTCTTGGTTGGTCCCATAATGCTTTTGAAAGTGTGTCTAGTTCTGCAATGTCTGCAAAGCTTCTTTAATAACTCATCCATTATTGGTGTCTCTACATTCTTCTATTTTTGGGTCCAGAGTAATCCAGCTGCTGTAAATATATCCTATATTTTATTTTCTTGTCAATAATTTCTGGCATTATATTCATTAATAACATTAGAGGTTTAAAACGTCATTTTTGTTGAACAATCTCTTTTGCTATTTCCCAAAGCATGTATCCAATTTTTTTTTTTTGCTGACATGACCACCACATATGATAATAAGTACCTGGATTTTTTTTTACATTTCCAACGAACATTGCTGATCCCTTCTGACATTTTTGCCAGTCTTACAGGGGTAAAGTGCCATCAATAAAACATTTAAAGGATATTTTCTCTAAGATTAACTGGCTTGATCATTTTATGATTCTCTTTCCACATCTTTGTCCATTCATCAATATCAATATTGTACCCAAAGTTTTGTGCCCATTTTACCATCGCCTCCCTTCACCCTCTCATCCTCTAAGTTGTATTCTAATAAGTATGTATACATTTTTAAAATTATTTTCTCATTAGCGTAAATCCATAATGCATCCACCTAGACTTTCCCCTCAAAAAAGCCCATACTTAATAATAACGGAGAGAGTGGATAACCCTGCCTTGTGCCTTGTAGAAAACCATAATGTTCCTGATGTATGACAAAATATGGAATTCTCCTTGTACTGTCCATGAAATTTAGAGTACTTACTAAGATCATGGCAGTAACTTTAAGAAACACAGATTGCTTTATAATGACCAAAATTGCATAAATAAACAAATCAGTATTATGATACTGTACTTAATTTTGAGAATTTATTGTTTTGTGTATTTTAAACAATGCACAATATTCATTTGAATTGCCACTTGCAGGCTTCCTTAGAAATATCTGGCTGGTATTCTGTGTGAAGGCAGGTAGTACTGCATTGCTATTTTATTATCTGACTAGCTTTTTGAATGATCTGTTATCTTTTGAAGAGAGTTGAATATTAAATTATTTGAGTTACATGGGGGAAAGAAGACTACCACGGTTTACTTCGGTAGGAAAGATACTGAATTCTGCTCTTTTGCTAAGATAAGTTAAGTTGCAGTATTTATTTGACAGCCTAAATATAATTTTGAGGCCATTGTTTATTTTTGTACACTAATCTGTTACACTACATATGTGTTCAGCCTGTGACATACTGTGAAAAGCAGCAATCAGTTAGTATAGCATTTAAAAATGTTGCATCTCTATTCAGAAGGGAGTTTCACTGACTTCAGTGGGATGTATTCCTAGTAAGAGGGCCTAGGATTGCAGCCTTACTGCCGCATCTTGTTGCAAAAAATGTGTTTGATACCTCAGCTGTTGTTGTTGTTGTTGTTGTTGATTTATTTATTATTTATTTATTAATTTATTTATTATTTATTTATTATTATTATAGCTGTGGATGGCAAAGCACCTCTTGCTACTGGAGAAGAAGATGATGATGAAGTTCCTGGTAAGAAAAAGTGACTTTGTTGTTTGCTTGGCACAAGTAACATGGGTAGATGGTTGGAATCATGTCTGTTATGGGTGGAGGTAAATAAACTGAAATCTAAGAGAAAGTTGAAATACTATGATGTGGTAGCCAAATGTTATGGATGGGGATGTTGTATCAGTTCTAGATAGGATTATACTCTTCAGAAGGTTTAAGTTTGCAGCTTGGGGATTCTCTTGAACTTAGAGGTGGTAGCTAAGAGAACCTGTTAGCTTCGGACTGCCACTGATTCATCTGCTATTTAAAAGCTGATCTTTTAAGCCCAAAGTAAGGTGTGGAGAACCTACAGCCTCGAAGCACTGATGTCTAGAAGATGCCCTTTATGATGCCACCTTAACATGTGAGCAAAGTTCCCTCTAAGATGCGTCTGCATGTAGGTGCAAAGAGCTCCATCGGTGCCGCACAATGGCAGCCAGAGTCAGTGCCTGTTTACTTCTGAGTTTTGGATGAAACTCCACCCTTCACGTGCAGATGGGTGAGGCTCCTGTGCATGAGGATGACAATTAGAGGGAACATTGCTTGTGAGTTGTAGCTGGAGCAATCTGTGTTCCCAAGTTGTAGGCAAAAGAATCCTAATGTTATCTCTATTCTGAGACTTAGCAGTAAGATTTCTCCTTCATTTGAGCTCTGGTCAGAAACCAGGGCATTCTTTGTGAAGAAGCATGTGAATCTATGTTGCCACATGAAGAAGGGGAAATGCTATCAGGATGGGTGGGCTAGTTGATGTCAAAGGAGAATAGGGCTTGGAGTACAGTTCCAGTCCAGTTCTGCAAGACCAGTACAATTTTCTATCTGTCCTAAATGGTTTGGGGATACGGTTGCTTGAAGAACATCTCTTCCCATTTATACATGTTCATGGTCATAGGTTCTGCTTGCAGAACTGCCAGCAGAGAAAATGCAACAGAGAAATAGAAGTTTGGGTTAAAAGTGAGAGAGCTCATTTCATTGGTCCTGTGTCTGACATTAAGGGACGTGGTACCACAATTTCACTGTGGGCTAAACCGCAGAAGCCTGTTCTGCAATGTCAGAAGTCCAGCAGTCGTAAGATTGCATCCATGCAACGGAGTGAGCTCTCGTCACTTTGTCCCAGCTCCTCGCCAACCTAGCAGTTCGAAAGCATGTAAATGCGAGTAGATAAATGGGTACCACCTTGGTGGGAAGGTAAAATGGCGTTCCTTAGTCACGCTGGCCATGTGACAACGGAAACTGTCTTCGGACAAGCGCTGGCTCTACAGCTTTAAAAACAGGATGAGCACCGCCCCTTAGAGTCAGACACAACTGGACAAAAAATGTCAAGGGGAACCTTGTCTGAAATTCACTCAGTAAGTAGGTTTGGCTCCCTCGTTTTCTTTCTGGGAGCCTTAAACACCTCCCTTGTTCAGTTCCCTTCTGGTTAAAAAGCCTGTATGTTGGAATGCTTCTCCCAGGTTCTCATGCTGCTTTTCTAGTTTCATTATGCTTTGATGAATTATTTGTGGAATTATTAAAAAGTTTGTTGACTTCAGAAAGAGAGACTTGTAACTAACAGAAACAGTGTTTTATACAATATAAAGTCTAACTTTTGCTACCTCTTCTTTTCAGATCTTGTGGAAAACTTTGATGAGGCTTCAAAGAATGAAGCAAACTGAACTGTCACTTTGAGCAAACTTGAAAATTATATGGAGCTGCTATTTTATATTGTAACTTTATTTGTAACAATTTTGTACTGATCTTAAGCTTAAGATCTGTAGTATTTGGAAACTCCCACAAATTGCAGCTCTTTTCAGTTCTTGCTAGTGCACGGAGCATTTAATTGCGGCTGAGTTGGAAGTACACAAAATTGAAAAGTATTACTTCAAAATGCTAATAAAGACTAAATGTTTAGGCAAATATTTTAGTAGTATTTTGTACATAAAATTTTAACATGATCTCTGGGTACTTGTGACCAGTGATACAAAGTGGAGCACCTTGGTTTTAAACCTTATGAAAAATAAATATTAACTTATTGAATCATCATTCCATTGAGAGGTCCTAAGAAGAGTTTCTTCCCAAACATCTGTAACTACCTTTGCAGGAAGCAGCCACAAAGTGTTGCCACAGAGCACAGAGGAACAACCTGTTGTCATGTCAGTTTGTTTTCAAAAGCTTGCACACTCCTACAATATACACCCAGATGATACATTTGTGTAGTTCTACTGTACTTAATTGTATCATTTTTTAAAAAGGTCAGTTAATTTAGGTGTTTTTGTAGCATTCTGTTTAGCTTAATTTCTTACTGTCACAGCAGCTTGAATGAGACACAACTTGAATGACATGTTGTAAACATTGCAGTAGTAGTAAACTCAATTCTTTTTCTAAACCCAGGAAGGCTGTGAAGTAGAGCTTATGTTGCTTGTGTCTACTCTGCACAAGGGATATGTGTGCAGAGACCTCTTGTTCTCCATGGGGCAGTAATAAGAACTCTTGTGCTTGTCCTTGCACAATGCAGTATACATAATGCAGCAGGAACATCTGTTTTACTTGACTGGCTATTTTAGTGCCTTAGCAGAGTTTATCAATAATTTAGTCTAAAAATCTCCCAGTACCATGGATTGCAGCAGATGCAAACCCCCATAAGCTGCTGAATTTGAATCCAACACTAGCCAGTAAGTACATCTGGTGTTGAAGAATGCTGGCAGTTGCATTTCAACAACATCTAGGACACAATTTGTCCAGGTCTGGGTGACAGTCTGATTTACTTCATGTTGTTCACTGAGTTCTCATCAAATTGAGTCCAGATATGTACTCTTCCAGTTCTGGTAAATCAATATAATTTGGAAAGCATTTAACATACTAAAATTCAATCAGGAAGACATAGCTTATATTGTCTTAAAACAAAATTCACCCTTTTTGTACTTGTACCAGAATTCCTGTTACACACAGAGAGATATAAGTTAAGATGGGCCAAGAAGCATAGAACTCTCATTGGTGTAGTTTTCAACAGGCACTTGCCACTAAAAGTATTTCACTAGTTCTAAAACAGGTATTTGACCTGGAATGATTAACAGTTGATAGTATGTTTTGTGATGGCCATATCAATTTTGACTAGCCATGGATTACTGTATAGCGTACCAAAGCTATCATTCCCCTTTCCACTGCAATTCAAAGGAATACTGCTGAGGGACTTGGTCCTATGGTATGTGGGGCACTGAGTTTAGTGGTACTGAAGGAAAAAAATTAGCTGCACAAGTATTGCAAAACAAAACTCTATAAATGGTCTGCCAGCATCTGTATTGATTTAAGTAATGTGCAGGGAGAATGTTCCAACAGCTGTTATACTGGGCTAAGCTCTGCTACATACATTTTAAATGCCATTGTTCAGCTTAGATTTAATGATTAACTGGAAATATGGAATAACTAGACAGTAAACTAGTGCTATTGACGGTCATCAGAGAAAACTAGGTATTTCATCTAGCATGTACAGTATGAGTAAGAATAGCTTGAGACAAGAATTTTCAACTGACTTCCTAATAAGTAGTACATTTAATATATAACTTATGGAGGAAACACTAGCCTATAACTATTTAGAAAAGCACAGAGAAATATAAGATTTGTGTAATAAGATTCTGAGAAGAGAGAAATTATGTACCCAGTATTACAACAACTGCCCCTTAACTAATTATTGTCATGACTGGAATCATGCATTTTAAAAGATGTCAGATTGTGTCTACACTTACAATAAAGCATGTTTATCTCTTCCTTTAGGTTTTCTCTTCCTTATCACAGTGGAAATATACTTGCATTTAACATGTAATTAAGATGATGTAATTATGCCAAAAGTGATCTGATGGTATATAATTATTAAATTATGTAAGTGGTACAACTACTCATGTATCAGAAGCAAGAAAGAATGTCATTAACTGCCTTATGATATAATCAGAAATACTTTTACTTCAAAATTGGGACTTGTTTCAAGTCATTTTATTTCCTACTAAGTGTAGTTAGGGTGCTACTCTTTAGTCCTTGGTCACACTGCACCACAGTACTTAGACAGCAAACTCTTTTTGTTCATGCATCTTGACAGCTTTCTACTTCATCTAAAGCAAGGCTACCAAACCTATCCAGAACTCTGAATCTGAAGTTTTCCCCAGACCAACCAATGATGAGGGGAGTAACAGTTCATCAACTTCCAGAAAGCTAGTTTCCCTTAACAGAAAAAAAGATAGGCTCTAGTAATGATTGTGGGCTTATTTTCCCAAGAACTGGTTTGGTATTTTAGTAACTGCAATCTTTGTACTAAAATGACATTCACATACTACATCTTACAGCCTCCCTCCCCCCTTTTTTGGCATAAGCCTAATTCTTTTCACAAATGCAGTGCTCAAAGTTTTGGACCATATGCTTTCAATACACTTTGAAGATTTATTTCATAATCCACTAAAAAAAGCATATAAAACTATAAAATGTAGCTGACAGAACAAAGACATGGTATTTCATACACAGTGAAATATACCAAATATACAACATAATTTACAAGACATTTTCACAAGTTGGGTAGGTTTGGTTTCACAAATATTTACAAACCAGACAAATATATAAAAGGAGCTGTGTTAAAATCCTACCAAAAAGAGAGAAAAATGTAGATCAAGCAACCTTTCAGAATGTTTTCCCAACTTCCAGCCACTAGAGGACAATTGATCTTTTCACATCCTCGGTAAAACAGCTGGGCTAGAGAAAGTTTCTTACTGTGTATCACTCCTGATAACCCTTTTGAATAGCAAGTCATGCTGGAATGCCTGCTGCTGCAGTGGGAAAAGACTCAGTCAATAGGCAGGGCACAGCTGAAAGCAGGGCTCCAGCCCTGCTAACTGATCTTGGGACACCACCATAACCTGCTAAAAAACTTCAGGTTTGGTTGGCAACCTGCAATTGACTTGTTGCTCTCATTTGGCAAGGAATATGAGGCCCCATTCATTAACAAATCAGATTTAAGGTGCACATTAGAAAATAAATAAAGTCTTTTATGTTGATCAGTGCTGAAACGAAATTCCAAATCTTCATGTATAAACTCTTGTCCCAGAACTGCAATATCCTTACTCCTTGATATTTTGAAGAAGTGTTAATAAATGCGACTCAATAACCTGTTGAACTGAAATGGAAAGGGAAAAAAAACAGTTACTGTTCAACAAATGTGATCCTCTTTTTAATTAGTGGTCTGTCCTAGGTAGCTATTATGGTGAGGTAAATAGAATGATACCCTTCACGGATTGCTGCCATGTCATGGCGAAGTGGCGAATAATTCAGAGAAGCTATGGGCTATGCCATGCAGGGACACCCAAAATGGACAGGTCATAGCGGAGAGTTCTGACTAAGCGTGATCCACCTGGAGCAGGAACTGGCAAGCCACTCCAGTATCTTTGCCAAGAAAACTCCATAGACAGAAGGCTAAAAGATATGACGCTGGAAGATGAGCCCCTCAGGTCGGAAGGCATCCAACATGCTAGTGAGGAAGAGCAGAGGACAAGTACACGTAGCTCCAGAGCTAATGAAATGGTTGGGCCAAAGCCGAAAGGACGCTCAGCTGCGGATGCACCTGGAAGTGAAAGGAAAGTCTGATGGTGCTAAGAAAAATACTGCATAGCAACCTGGAATGTAAGATCTATGAACCTTGGTAAGCTGGATGTGGTCAAAAAGGAGATGGTAAGAATAAACATTGACATCCTGGGTGTCAGTGAACTAAAATGGACAGGAATGGGCAAATTCAATTCAGACGATTACCATACCTACAATTGTGGGCAAGAATCCCGCAGAAGAAACAGAGTAGCCTTCATACTCAACAAAAGAGTGGGAAAAGCTGTACTGAGATACAATAAAAAATGATAGAATGATTTCAATACAAATCCAAGGCAGACCTTTCAACATCACAAAAATCCACGTTTATGCACCAACCATCAATGCTGTAGAGGCTGAAATTGACCAATTCTATGAAGACTTCTAGAAATGACAACAAAGAAAGATGTTCTTCTCATTCTAGGGGATTGGAATGCTAAAGTAGGGAGTCAAGAGATAAAAGGAACAACAGGTACGTCTGGCCTTGGAGTTCAAAATGAAGCAGGGCAAAGGCTAATAGAGTTTTGTCAAGAGAACAAGCTCGTCATCACAAACACTCTTTTCCAACAACACAAGAGGTGACTACATACGTACATCACCAGATGGGTAATACCGAAATCAGATTGATTACTGTATATTGTCTGCAGCCAAAGATGGAGAAGCTCTATGCAGTCAGCAAAAACAAGACCTGGAGCTGATTGTGGCTCTGATCATCAGCTTCTCATAGCAAAATTCAAGCTTAAACTGAAGAAAGTAGAAACCAATGGGCGAGTCAGGTATAATGTAAACCAAATCCCTTATGAATACACAGTGGAAGAACAGATTTAAAGAAGTAGATTTAGTGGACAGAGTGCCGGAAGAACTATGGACGGAGGCTCGTAACATTGTACATGAGGCAGCAACAAAAACCATCCCAAACAAAAGGAAATGCAAGAAAGCAAAGTGGCTGTCCAATGAGGCCTTACAAATAGCAGAGAAGAGAAGGGAAATAAATGCAAGGGAGCTAGGCAAGGTCCCATAAAATTGAATGCTGACTTCCAAAGAATAGCAAGAAATAGAAATAGAGGAAAAGAATAGAAAAGGAAAAACCAGAGGTCTGTTCAGGAAAATTGGAGATATTAGAGGAATATTTTGTGCAAAGATGGACATGATAAAAGACAAAAATGGGAGGGACCTAACAGAAGCAGAAGACATCAAGAAGAGGTGGCAAGAATACACAGAGGAATTATATCAGAAAGATTTGGATATCCCGGACAACCCAGATAATATGGTTGCTGACTGACCTTGAGCCAGACATCCCGGAGAGTGAAGTCAAATGGGCCTTAGAAAGCTTGGCTAACAACAAGGCCAGTGGAGGTGATGGCATTCCAGTTGAACTATTTAAAATCTTAAAAGATGATGCTGTTAAGGTGCTACATTCAATATGCCAGCAAGTTTGGAAAACTCAACAGTGGCCAGAGGACTGGAAAAGATCAGT